CAAGTTTATATTTGTTATTTATTTAATTAGCACGGTGACGTCTTCAGCTCACACTGACCTTGTGACCGAAGCATTTCTCGACGGGGAAGTCGGCATTGTTGGCGATCACACTCTCACTGGGGAGGACGGCGTACGCCACAACTTGGATGTACGGTGCCATGTGAGCAGACACCATCAGGTTAAAGGACACCTCACCCTCATTCACTGAAACAAACAAACCAACTCATATATGAACCACAATCACCTCCATTCATCAATAAAACAGAATTATTTGCTAGCTTTAAAAGGTAATTTCATTCTTTGCTTTACTAACCTGAGTTTTCTTGCACGACGACCCGTCGAACTCCTTGCATGAAGATGACTCCTCGGGATAAGGCCTGCAAAACAATGAATAATGTAGAAAAAAACTCATTTAACAGCAGATTACAGCTGTTTGCTGTTATTAAAGGACAAAACAGTGGGTAACATTTAGGGGGATTAATTGGCAGCAATGGAAAACAATATTCATAACTATGTTTTAATCAGTTGTCTAATCACCTGAAATTAAGAATCGTTATGTTTTATTTAGCTTAGAAAAAGCCATTTATATCTACAAAGGGAGCAGGTCATCTTCCACAGAGCCGCCATCAGAGCCAGATGTCAGTTATCAGATGTAAAAAGTCATTATAAAACCATCTTACCCCCGTCGTCTCTCATATTTCACTCACCAGATACATCACATCCACGGAGCCCTGGGCTTCTCCTACCACAGTGTATTGGATGGTGAACTCTTCTTCTGTGTCACATGGAAGTGGGTTATTATTCAGCTTCAGCTTCAGGGAGCTGACCGTCTGAGTGTGTGGAGTTGAAGGTCGGACCAACGACACGGTGTGATCTCCAGCCTCATAGTACGGCGTTCTGTAACCGGGGTAGCCATATGTCGGCAAGCTGCTGACCTAGATAGAAGAAAAGAAACTCTGTAAAGTATATATAAAGTTTTTACAGCCAAAGTGAATGTTAAGGTTTAGAGATAAGTCAAGCCTCTCCTGTTTGAACACCATGGGAGTATATGAAAACATCAATGGTAGTCAACGGTGAGAGACAAATAATTATTTGATCCTGTTTGAATTGTTCATGAATTACACGTATGATGTTTGTCAATCTAAAAGATAATTTTGCACGTCAAGAGATTTTCAT